GTAGTAACAAGTGCCTTACTAGTAGTAACAAGAAGCTAGTAGTAACAGGTGCATCGCTAGTAGTAACCAGTGCCTTACTGTTTTGTTCCAAGTTTTTAATATGATTTCATTTGTTTGGGTCTTGTTTTTGGCCTGTCGGCAAGGTTGATCTGAAACTCCACAGGAAAAAAAGATGGAGGTAGTACCCTAGATACAGATATCACTGAGATTTGATGACCTGAAACTGAACATGAACAACTACTACCTCCAACCTACTAGCGATGGCCTCCGACGTACAAAAAGATAAAAGCATCGATATTGTGCAGTCTTTCAATGAATCCTCAGGCTGTTACTTCATGAGGTCCTTTCTGCCAATTGCAGGGTTGACGCGCTCGGAGGCATGCATTGGACCGTTTTTGCCTTTCTGGATTTTGCCATGTAACATCAGGTTGGTTAAGTTCGGCCATGTGAACACTACATGATTACGAAGCTGTTTGCGCAGGGAAGATGGGAGTTGCTGAGGGATGTCAGTTTGCGGCTGTTCAGCAATTGAAGCTTAGATCCAATTCAGTCTGAAAAGCTTGGTCTTCCTGAAGGTCACAACGGTCCTGCAATAGAAGTGTTTCTTGTAGGTAACGTGCTTGTGGAGGCGTCGTTGAGAGCTTTCAGAGGAGGGCTCTTGCGGTTCACAGCCCAGCGTAGGAGAGTGGAAGGACTTGAAGGTGTTTCACGAATGGTGTCTTCCTGGTTCTGCTTAGGATGATTGTTCTGGGAATAGTGTTTAGTTTTTTTCCCCAGTTCCTTAAGCAAATCCAAGTCTTTCTTCGGCGTTGCTGTTCCTGGAAGTTGAAAGAAGCGACATGTGCGCCTCGAGGTATCCTGACACCAAAGGCAGGTTCAGCTTTGGGGGGAAAAACGGAAAAAACGAGCAGTTCGCAGTGTCAAGTCCGTCAAGATGCAGGAAGGATTCTGCAAAGAACATGCCTACCGTGTTTTAGACCTCTCAAGTTGAGAGCGCAAAATACCTATGGCTATGGGTCATGGCACCAGGATACCAAGCAGTTGACCTACCGGTGATACTTGCGACTGTTTGTGCGCTTCTCAAACGCCCTTCAGCTTGGCTGGGTACGTGGGAGTGTGGTATGTAACTATCTATACAAAGTACCATGTAGTGAGAACAACCCTTCACTGTACACGTGAAACCGAATATCCGCTGCAGCATACAGTATTGGTTTGTAAGAATGCTTCGAAGCATATTTAATTGAGGTTGCCGTGAATGATCAACAAAAGGGTGTGTTTGTTCGGCACAGCCACCGTGGCAAAAGGCTTCATGGCTTGCATGTTTCTTGCGCCTGATCTCCTTCCCAAACTGCTTACACCTTTCATATGACAAGTCAAGCACCTGATGGGTTCACGGCTTCCACCTGCTGGACCGGTCGTGCGCGGCAAGTTTGGTGGACGACCGTCGGGCGAAGATGGTGGACTGACACTGGGCCTCAGCCTCGACTCCTGCATAGGTTGTTGGCTTCAGAGTTCCAGCGCACTCAAGATGCTCAGCTGCAGGAATCGGGCATGACACGACTTGCAATGTTCATCTTCAATGAAAGCAACTCATCAGGAACTCGTCGCCCTACAAACTCAGGAACTCCACCGTTTTGGGGTGCATTTGCAAGGACACTGCAGAAGAGCTTGGAGTTATGGAACCAATTTGAGGGTTTCTTTAACAAGGCCCCCCATTGCCCTCTTAAAAAACAGGCCCATACCCTGTTCTGTTTGCTCTCCTCTTCTTCATCCCGCTTCTGTAACTGACCCCAAGGAATGTCACCTTCGAGGGCGTGGTCAGTGGCCCTGTGAGGTGGCCCCTTTGCGCGAGCGTCGAACGATGAAACCCAACGATGAACGGGTGGTGGAATAGAACAGCTTTGTCATTAGACATAGGTCATGTTTCTCCGGGTATGTTCCGGGCGCTTCGAAAAAAAGACACCGTTTCGGCTGTGAGTTCTTTTGCTTGATCGACATCAAGCAACCATTACAAAGCTTCGAGAAGCTTCTAGAGGCTTCTCTAGAAACCCCGCAACATGTGTGGTCACTTGCAGAGTTTCGGCCAGGTGCCCAGGGGAAGTGACCACTCAAGTAGTGGTGGATGGAGAGACCGGTGCAACGCACGTGGGCACAGTGGTCAAGGCTGGGTGGAGATCAAGTGGCTAGTAGAAATGCCCTTTGTTACTAATAGCGTCCTCGCTCCTAGTAGTAAGGCCAGGAGCCACTAGTAGCGTCCTTGCTCCTATGCCCTTTGCTC